TCTAAGCATTTCCTGCCCTCTTATATCTATTTTGTACTTATAGGACCAATACTGCCAATTAAAAAATACATGAGTTTTACAATTGATATTTTAGCATCACGAAACATAAATTCATGGCAGTTGAGTCTTCTGGGCAGTTTGTTCTCTCAGTCTTCAAACTGTTCTAAAATCTGGAAAGATTTGGTACTTTTTGATTCATCTTTTTTTTTTTTTCAAAGCTGCACTTTGCAACTCATCAGCTAAAATAACATGAAGGGCATGTATTGTACAATACAGGTGAAATATAAAGAATTATAATAAAGGTACCACTATTGGCCTTGAGGCTGAGCCTACTCATGCCTTTCAAGCAAATTAATTCCTATCAGCTACAGTGCAAAGGCTGCATTTATGTAGTCTCAGTGACAACCAGAGACACAATGAAACAGAGAAATACTTACCTTATTTTCAATCTGATTTTGTTCACAACTTCATCGATGTTTGCCAAAGACTAGAATATGAAGAAAAAAAAAATCAGAGAGAAGTGAAATGGCGGATGTTTTACAAAGATATATGTCAGCTGTGATCCTGAACACTGCACCCCTTGTGGCTCTTGACAAAGAGGAGAGCAATGGCTTTGTTTTACAGGTGGAGGAACTGAGACACACAACAACTCAGCTGCATCTCTGCTACATCACAAAGAGCAGCAAAAGACAGGCCAGGCCAAGGCTCCTGCCTGCCCCTATCCCTGAGCTCTGCCTTGTCCTTTGTCAGCAGAACTGCTCCCAAAAGCCGTGTGACAGTGACCTCCAGTGGGCAGTGGGGATGGGGACAGAGCCTTTGCCTTTCCTGGGCAGAGACCCTCTTGCAGAGCCACACACCCCTAACACAATCTTTAGCTGCAGAAACATCTCTTTTTCGCAATATGTTAGTCCAGAACTCCCCCCGGGGCCGATGTGGGGAAGACAAAGTGCAGATATGAGCCCACAGTAACCTCATTCTTTAAATCTCAAAAGAAACAATGGTTCAAACATGAATGACTCTCCTGCAAAAGGCAACACCTGCCTGATTTGGCTGAAACCCCTGAGAACTCAGCAATGATTAACACGCAGTGAATTATGACATTTACTGCAGGAGAAACATCTACACAGAAACTAATTTACTTCTAAGATCAAAGCAGGACCCTTACTGCAGCAAGCACTCTGGGTGGAAAGAGACTACATAACGACAGCAAACCTTGTGAGATGCAAATTTAAGAAGCAATTATTGTTATAGCCTTATTAGCTGTGTTACTCTTTAAAAGAAAAGGTTTAGGTACAGGTTTAAACACACCTTTGGTCATCTACTATCAGGTTACCCCAAGAGTAAAGGGTGAAAGTAAAACCTGATAGTAAAAAGTATGAAAGTAGAGTCTGAGAGGGCTGTACTTGGAGCACTACTTACTTGCTCAGTGGGAAAGAGAGCATTAATATACTCCACAGCATTGAAATCTGCTCTGTCCAGTGGATCTTGGCTGGGAAACACCTGAAGAGAGGGAGGAAAACAAACAGAATCAACAACCACTGATAATTTCTGTAACTCTACACACTATCTACCACTTCTAATTACTTCAGCACCCACTTCTGATTGCATCTCACATTGTTCTAACAAGTGGCCAGGCCTCTGCCCAGGAGTAGAGCAGCCACGTGCTCTGCAGGTCTCTGACCTACCAAAATTCCTGTGGTTATCAGCCTGGATAAACACAGATAACTTACACACATGCTTCCACATATAGCCCTGGCACAATCCATCAAGGAATTCCCAGGACACACGAGCCATTAATCTTGTATCCCAAACCATCCTGAAGCTTTTGCTGTTGTCTGGGAACAAACTCCAGCACTGAGGCTCTGCCCTTCTCTTGGCCTGGGCTTTGCAAGGCCCGGTGGTGACAGACAGATGATTTGCTTTTCACAGCCTTGTAATAGGAAACGTGAAGAATTAAGAAGTGGTTGTACAAGTTCTCTGGAGACTTGGGTTTGCCACATTTCACAGAAGAGGAGGAGAACAAGAATCTGCTGAATGATTGTTCCTACTCATGGGAAAAGAGCAGCTGTGGTGCAAACAGATCCCATCTCTCCTCAGAAGAAACTCAAATTATACAAATGTGGCTGCCAGGCTTTGCTTTCTGTCCCCACAGACTAAAATGTGGAGCTTTCCCTTCCCTCCTACCACACTAAAGTTGTGGATGCCCCATCCCTGGAAGTGTTCAAGGCCAGGCTGGACTGGGCATGGAGCAACCCGGTCAAGTGGAATGGGTCCCTGAACCAGCCCTCTTGGGCAGCTTTCCCAGTCACTCCTGTGGCCAAGGAGAAGCAGGCAGCAGCTAAACATGCACAAGGATGAGGCTGTGCTGAGTGAGGAAGGTGCTCTGACGTCAGCCCATGGTAAGAGCACAGCTGCAGCATCACACCCAGCCTTGTCAGATACACTCCACAAATCCCAAACCCCCACAAGTATTAAGAGCAGATGAAACAAGAGGTGAGATGGAAGATAAAGGTTGGTAAGGAGCTCCACTCAAACTGCAGATAGAGATCAGTGCTGCAGGCAGCTGGAGCAGCTGAAGGAGTTGTCACTCCCAGGAGTTTGTCACAACCCATTAATCAGAAATACTACACCAGGTTTGGTGGAGCACCAGCCTGCCTGTGCTCCCCACCCTGCTTCAGGCAGGTCAGCTGAGCCAGCTCTGCTCACTGAACCACAACTGGGCAGGCTTTGCCCAAAGCTGATTAAGGAACACTCAAAGGAACAACAATGTTATTAGGTTGAGAAGTGCCAGTGAGGAGGTGATGGAAGGCAGGAGGTGGTGTCATCCTCAACATCTCCCCTTGCTCAGGATGTGAATATCTGCCTACAGCTCTACTGCCTTCCCCCCGTCCTGGTGCTCACTTGGGATGCTGTGCCAGCTCCCAGGGTCTGCCCTAATTCTTCAAGGGAGAGCCATGAGAAGTGAGCCACAAGCCTCAACATTCAAAACAATGAAAAAACTTATCTTCGTGATACTTTGTGAGACAGCTGCTGCTGCTGCCCACAGACTTCTGCTACAGCAAAGAGCTTTTAGGATGGAAGGGTTGGCTGCAGGCAGTGCAGGCTCACAGAGGACAAGAGACATGGTTTCACCCTGGGTTCTCATGGGATTTTGAAAGGTTTCAAGTGCCACAAAGGGTTTCAGGGAAGCCTGGAGGACTTGGGCTGAACACAGAATCACAGAATATCCTAAGCATCATCTAGTCCAACTCCTGGCCCTGCACAGGACACCCCAACGATCCCAGCCCAGCCCCAACAATCCCACCACGTGCTGAGAGCGTTGTCCAAACACACCTGGGTGACCACTGCCCTGGGGAGCCTGTTCCAGTGCCCAAACACCCTCCTGTGTATCAGCCACAAATCAAGCCAAGCCATTCAGATTACCCTGACCTCCACTGAGCCACAAGCATCCGAGAGCACTGAGGTGCTTCACACACCACGGAACGCGCCTGCAACCAGCGACAGAGCCCTGCGCTGCCGCAGAGCCGCCTGTCAGCGATGGGGACGTGGGGGGGACACGCTCAGCACAGGCCCGAGCACCTCGGACCCGGGGGTCCGAGCCCAACCGGGGCTGACGGGGCTCTGCCCGGGGCTCCCCGGGCCCAGCAGCGGGGAAGGCCCGGAGAGCGCGGCGGGGACTCGCCCGGCCCCAGGCCCTCACCGAGCGGCCCCAGGCCGCGCCCCCACAGCTGCCCCCTCACGGGGGGACCGTCCGGCGCACCTGCTCGACTGGCCGCCTGCACGGCGGGCGCAGTTCCAAGCGATCCGGCTCCAGTCCGGCTCCAGCTCGGCTCGTCTCCTCCATGGCGGCGCGCTTCCGCCGCGCTGAGGGGTGGGGCCTGTGGGCGGGCGGTGCCTATATGGGCGTGGTTCTCGCGAGGGGGGTTGTGCCTGCGGGTGCGCGGGCTCCGCCGCGGAGCGGGGCGAGTCCCGGCGGCGGCGGGCCGGACGGACTGACGAGCCGATGGGAGCCGAGTACTGGCCGGAATGAGAGGCGGCCGAGACGAGCCGAGCGGAGCCGAGCGAGCCGATCGATCGCGCGATCCAATTAAGCGAGCTGAGGGCTGAGCCGATCGATTCCAAGTGAGTGAGCTGAGCGCGATTCCATCCAATGCGGAGCTGAGCCGGAGCCGAACTGAGCGAGCCGCCCCGGGCCCTCGCCGCCGCCGGCTGTTGACAAGCGGCGGCGGGAGCCCAGGCGCTCGCCCATGTGGCGGACGCTGGCCCTCGCTCCGCCTCTTCCGGGGGCTCTCGTCTCTGGCATCGGTTGCTAGCGCTGGGCCGCCCCGGATGGAGCCTCAGGACCGCATCCTGCTGCAGGCGGCAGGTAGGGTGGCACGGCGGGAGGGGACAGCGCACCGCGGGGGACAACGCGCCGGTACCCACACCGGGAGGCGGGACGGCAGCGATCCGGGCGGGCCAGGAGCACCGAGAGCCTGCATCCGGGGATGCCCAAGCCCGCGACGCTCTGGGGGCCGGACCCCGGCTGTCCCGAGCCCAGATCCCGCGAGGGGAGCAGGGGCCGGTGGCCGGAGCAGCCCCGCGAGGGTGGGCAGCCCCTGAAGGTGGGCATTCCACGAGGACGGGCTTTCCCCGAGCATAGGCAGCCCCCGAGGGTGGGCATCCCCCCGAGCACGGGCAGCCCTGCCCGGCCGTACCCCCCGCGCTGTGCTACCCGCTGTCGGAGCGGGGATGCTCCAGTGCATCGCTCCTTCTGCCCACGGGGAACGGGGGGTGGAAGGGATGAGACGTGGCAAGAACCCCCTCTCTGTTCTGGCAAGAAGCCTGTCCCCGGCAGGCAGCGCTGGCACGGCCACCCCTCGCTGTGGTGTGTCACACTCCTGGGGTGTGCATGGAGTGGGTGTTTAAGTGCTCCCAGCTCTCCTGGTGCCAGCCCTGTGCCTCAGCCCTTCTGGGGTCACGTTTGGAGTGACCTGTTTCCTCTCTCTCGGTTTCAGGCTGGTGTCAACGGTCCAAGCCACGATGGCCACAGTGTCGGGGATCACGGTTATCCTCAGCTGCAAGAACGTGGTGTACGACAGGTAACCCAGCGCCCACTGTCCCTCGGGGAACACGCAGAGGATGTGCCCGGTCAGCTGCAGGGCTGGAATGTTTTATGCCAAAGGCTTGCACGTACAAAGGGGAGAGGAAAACCAGTTTCATGCTCCCCTTTCCTCCACTTTGTGTGAAGGGTTGGGCAATGTGCTGGCTGTACACCCCCCCTCCACGGCACCAGCTTGTTCCGAGTGCTCAGACAGGGGGCTGCTCTGCCAGCACAGTCTCCTCCACAGGATGGGCTGTAACACAGGCTGTGTGTGAGCAAAAAATATAGACATCATCAGCTCTAAAGGAGTAGGGAGTCTCCTTGCTGGAAGCTGAAATCACTACCGAGTCAAGCAGACGTAGCGAGAACTGATTTTAGAGGTGCAGTGTCTTCTCCGTGCCAAAGGGATTCTGAAGGAGTCCAGAAATGAGAAAATCAGAACGGAGTTTGCTCTGAAAGAAAATCCTGTTGCCTTGTCCTGAATGCTCCGAGATAAACTGCCAATAAGTGGCTCTCAGGAGGAGAGTGATAGTGTAATCTGGGTCAGAAGACTTAAAAACAGAGCTATTATCCAGACTAGCAGAGAAGATCGTAGGAGGGAAGAATATAATTATGCTGAGCTGGAATTTGACTGTCACACACTGATTTTTAGGAAGGGCTGCCCCGTCGGTCATTGCAGACTTGTTTTTAATACACAGATATGTCCTGCCTTGCTCTAGATAGTGAGATCTATCCAGGTTGCTCAGCCCTGCTTAACCCAGGCAGTCTGTGAGTTACCTTTTTGCTCTAAAATAAAACTTCTGCTGGATAGATAAGGCAGATGATGAAGCCCAGAGCCACAGAGACGGAAGGCGCTACCAGCAGCCCTCCTTCCCCCCAGAGCTGTCTGCTTGCCCGGGTGTTCTCAAGGCCAGTGGCTCTGTGCGAACACTTTGTGGGCAGAGACCTAGATTTTCTTTGAATCTGGAGGAAATAGAGCCCAGTGCTCAGCAGGGAAGGCCTCGGAGAATGACAGCGAGACAGCGCGCCAGGAACCATCACAAAGGTTGCAGTAAAACTGCCAGTTTATTTACAGAGGCAGACAATCATTATATTGCCTGAGCCGTAATTGCCCTCCAAAGCCCTGGGCAAGTTTTGCAAACACAATCGCTTGCCCTCCTCGCTTTACATCACTGACATCTTTCTATCTGGAGCGGGAACGCGTGCAACAGAATTTTCCTTGGAATGGCAGGAGAGCAAAAACAGTTTTATTCGAGCCCCAAGCTACGTTTCTTTAAGCAACAGCGTGGGGTGGTTTTGGGTTTTTTTTTTAATCAGTGTGATTTCAACTCAGGACTTTTTAAGGAGGCTGGAGTCCCTGCAGAGCAGGGCTTGCTGCTGCCCAGATTGTGCAACTGGGATTCCGACATGCTTTGGGAACAGGCAGCTGCCTGCAATTATTTCCCAACTGACAAACGCCTCTTGGGGGTTTATTGCTTGTATTGGATATTTTGCGCCTCACTCTCCGAACTCCAGACCAGGCATAGCCAGTTAACTCTGAGTTCTCCATGAGCTTTCCAAACCCTCCCCGGGTTAGGCAGCCAGCTGACGTGGCTTGGCAGGCAGGAGGGAGCCAGGATCAGAATTTCCCCTTCCTCCCCCACCAGGCACCAGCTCTGGCGGTCTCAAGGCTTAGGGAAGATCACCTGCTGGAAAGGCATCAGTTTGGTGCTGGATCCTGAGGGGTGCTGTGCCCCTGGCCCATGCAGCAGCTACTTGGCTGTGGGGCTAATCAGGCTCCTCATTAGTGCTGTGTTTGTGCTTGGCCAGGCTGAGCTTGGTGCCTGGCACAACCCAGGGGGAAGCAGGGCCAGTGCCAAGTCGTCCTCTACACGTACCAGGTACCTTTTCCCTGGGACAGTCTGTACCTGCTGAGCCAAATGGAGTTAAAATTTCCCCCCTTTCAGTTTGCCATCAGCTTCAAAACCCGCTGCTGCCATTTCAGACCTAAACACTCTCTTCTCCTCCTTCCAGAGCATCGTGAGGTGCTCGTAGCCCTTGCAATGCCCCTGTGTGTGCTGCTCCTCCCCTAGGCACTGGCTGGCCGTGGAGTACATCTGGGTCCTCGTTCCCTACATGACTTATGACATCTATGTCATGTACCTCTGCCACTGGCACAAGAGCCTGGAAAAGGGAATCGCAGAGAAGAAGCACTCGCTGGCCAGCGTGTGGAGCTTCCTCCTGCAGGAGCGGCTGATGGTGACCCACCACCTCTTCATCCTCATCGTGCTCACCCCCATCACCCAGGTAAGGGCTGGGCACGGCTGCTGCAGGAGCCCATGACCCCCTGGAGATGCTGGGTGTTGACTCCCAGTCACCTCCCTGGAGGGCCCTGTTCTCACTGCTGCCTTTCTTTTACAGCACTTCAGGGGAGAGCTGGGGGACTTCTTCGTGGGCTGCATCTTCACAGCAGAGCTAAGCACGCCTTTCGTATCCCTGGGCAAAATCCTCATGCAGGTAGGCGAGCAGGGACAGGGCTCAGGTCTGGGAACCCCACAGCAGTTTGTACCCAGGCTCCATCAGCCTCTGTTCATGCAGCAGCTGGGCCAGAGGTC